CTATGATTTTCTGATTCCTGTATTCTTCTATTAAAAAAAAAAAAAGGAACAGCTGACCAGGTCCAGCCTGATTTCAGCATTTATTTAATTTCTGTCCAACACAATGCCTTGCATATACCCCTTATTTAATATTTGCTGAGTTGACTACTCTCCTCATACTACCAAGCTCATGACCTTTAGCATCATATCATAATGCAGATCCTGACAAAATAAGAATTTAGAACCAATGCACACCTTTACTTATTGTAAACTATTCACATAATAATCATTCTGTTTTTTATCAGCAGTAACCTTTGTTGAATGTGACATGGAACTGTCCACTTCACTTCTCTGAGACACCCTTTGATAGGGGCTTATCTCATTAAATATTTACATTATGTACAAATATAGTTTTCATTGGAATGAGCGATTGACTTGGCCAGGCCAGTGTGTGAAGTCTACCTAATATGAAACTGATCCAGATAACCAGAGACTTCCAGATAATCTTGTGAACAGAACATTAAACAGTGAGATCCAGTACTATTGGCTTTGGATTTTAGCCATGGCATTGTTTTATCCATCCTTGTTTCCAACACTTGACTTTTTGTGTCTTTCAATAATCATTTGGCTATTTAAAAATTCTCAATCCAGTCTCCTGATTAAAGGTAGTGTGACCAGTACTTTCTGGGTGGGGCCATAGAGAACAGGAATGTTAACTGATTCCCCTCCAATCACACAGGAAATCTTAGGGGGCCTTCCACACTGAATTTCCAACTAACGACAGCAGAGCTGAAAGAGAAGGCAGGGCCTCTGTATTGATTTGTCTGTTTACTAAGATGATAATCACCATCACTCACCCTTCTATAACAGCCATAATAATAATTCACAGTTATATATAGCTTTGAGCTTTATAAAGTGCTTTCCCACTTGGAAATGTTATGGTTCCTGAACAGCATATGTAAATATCCAAAGAGGAATTTGAGATGTTTGTTTTTCTTTTTTCTGATTCAAGGAGATAACTGAGCATGGCTGTTTTTATTACAAGTAAAATGTATTGTCTCCTGTGCTGATGTGTTGAGGTTGTAGGAAACAACTCTGAGAACATTTTTTTTTATAAAGAACAAAAACAACCACATGTAACTGCCTGTGCTTGGATCCCCATAGTCTTGTTTAATCAACAAATCAATCCACAAGCATTTGGGAAGCTCCTACTATGTGCCATGAACACAGGCCCTGGAGATAACTGGTACAAACAATGAAACAATCTCTTTTTAAGCCTACGTTCTCATGCAATTCTACCTGGGAAGGATCACAAAGCCAACCTCCGAAGACAAAGAACCCAAAGCAGAATAAGCTTATGAAGGCTCCTGTGAGATCGGTGTAACAGCAGTGGTTCAAAGAATCAGGCTTAAATAATGCTTAATCAAAACCTCAAAATTGTATCCTCTCTTTTTAAATAATTACCTTCAAAGAAGCTTTACAAAAGGTAAAGTAGATTTAGTAAAGGGTCCTCTCCTCAGGTCCTCCTCCTCATGGTGCCATGAAGATGACCTTGAGCTTTCAAAGTCAATAATAGAATCAGGAGCTTCCATATTGGAAAAGGTTGCAAGGATGGGTCTGCTCATGGTCCAGGTCTTTCATGCAAGGAGCAGCAGAGCAAGGGGTGGAGAGGCTCATTGCCAGCCTGGTCACATTTGGAACCACAGAAGCTTATGCTTATTTAGCAATCCTCAGGAGAGTCGTTTGAGTATGGTGGCAGTGCGAGTACTGTTACTTTCATTTTTACAGATGGTAAAACTGAGGTTCAGAGATGAATGACTGTAGCTCAATTCATAGTACCCTAAAACTGTCTAAGTGTTTTACATTCATTATCTCAAATCAATGAAATTACAACTGGACATTGATTGGGAGCGATATCTACTGGTCCTCAGTACAATTCTGTGAGGTAGATGCTATTATTATTACCATTTCACAGATGAGAAAACTGAGGCTCAGAGTTAGTTAAAATGACTTGCCCAAAGAGTGTCTGATGCTCCATTTGAACTCAGATCCTCCTGACTCTAACCCCAGCACTCTCTGTAGCTGAAGAGAGCTACCTAAAGTTTTGCTGCTGTTCAGTCATTTCAGTCTGACTTTTCATGGCCCTATTTTGGGGAATTTTCTTGGCCAAAAAGCTGGAGTGGTTTGTCATTTTTAGTGGTAGTCTGCAAATAGGATTTTATCATGTATAATTGATATTTTTATCAAGTTTGACTTTATAATCTAACCTTTGCATGCATATTGATTCTGTATCTCGCTTATGATTTCTGCTTACCATGTGATTTTTAGTATTATTTCTTCAAAATCACTGTAACATCATATAACTCTAATCACAGGGGTTCTTAACCAGTGATCCATGAACTTAGTTGTTGGGTTTTTTTTAATATTTTGATCACTATTTCAACATAATTGTTTTCCCATGCATTATTTTTTGTGCATTTAAAGTCATTCTGATAAGGGGTCCCCTAGACTTTGCCAGACCGCCAAAGGGGTCCATGACTCAAGAAAGATTAAATTCCCCTGCTCCATTGGACTTGAATAGCCCCTGATTTCCTCCCCCCAATAAGTTTCAACCCAAAGACCATGGGTTTTGCATAGGGCAGTTGCTCAGTATTTACTATTGACTTCCACCCCCTAAACCTATGGTGACCAAGTTTGGTGCTAGTTTTATCATATGCATGAAGGAATATGCATGCAAGTATAGTGCCAGGCTCAGGATGATGCTATTACCACTAGGGGCGGCAAGTTAGGCAGAATGACAGCTAGCCGGGCAACTCATAAGATCAGGCAAACAAAGGCTGGAAGTCTGTTCTCTACGGTCACATGAGGACATCATCCAAAAAGCAAAGGCAAAATCTGATCACCCCAAGAGAAAAAGTCCTCTGGATGGAACATGGTGTACCTTTAGCCAAAGTCTAAACTGAATCTAAAATAGGGGTGTTGACTCAGTCAGTGACAGGTGTCAGGCAAGCAGTAGACAAATAAGGGGAAAGAAAGGAATCCCCTGGCAGGGAGTTCTGGCAGTAAATGCCTGGGACTCTACACTCTGGCCCTTGCAGCCTTATTTCATTCTGTTTCCCTCCATACCATGCTCCATCCAAATGAGGCTATATCCCACATTCACCATCACTTTACTGCCCCAGTACATACCATTGCTCATGCTGCTCACTGTGTTTGGCATATCTCCCCCCAACCCTGTTTTGAATTCATATTCATCCTGCAAAGTCAACTCCAATGTCACCTCCTCCAGGAAATCAGTGATCCCCAAATCAGTCAGTAATGACCTTTCTCCCAACTTCCCCCTTCAAACTCACATAGCACTTTGCCTGTCTCTCTCTTATACACTTGTCAGGTATTAATTTTGAATTTTAGTTGTTTATTATGTATGTGTTGAAACACAGCCTGGTGTCTAGTGAATAGAGAGCTGGCCTTGGAATCATAAAGACCATGCCTCTGCCATGAGGTGCTGGCTATGTGACCCTGGGCAAGTCAGCTAATCTCTCAGTGCCTCAACTGAGCTATGATGCTAGAGGAAATTCCTTACCTGAAACTTCTCATAGATGGAGCCAAAAAAAAAAAAGTCATGTGTGATATGATCCCAACAGAAATTTGATGAGGCCAGACCCTGGATCTCGTCTAAGTTTCTTATCTTCCCCAGGGCTTAAGTAAGAGCTCTCTACTGAAAGAGAGTTACTAAAAGTTTGTTAGATTGCTTCTTTTTGCGTCTCCAGCACCTAGCACAACGCCTGGCACATAGTAGGCACTTAATGAATTTTTATGGATTGATATATTGAATTGAAACAAAAGGAAACTCAGCTCCTATGAGAAGGGGATGCAGGAAGTAATCCACGAGAAAGATTTGATGAAGTGCCTGTAATTTGCCAGGCACCAAGCTGGGCATGGCGATAAAAAAATCAGAGTAGAACAGTCCCTGCCCTCAAGTGGCTTGGATTCTATCAGGTTAGACAGCCAATAGATCAGTAGAAGAATAGCATCTGGTCCTGGGCTTCCTTGTAGGGAAGTTCCTGATTAGCAATATCCTCCTGAAATGCAGATCTGCACCTGCTTCACACACCATGACCTTGGAGTGCTGCCTAGAGCAGGAAGGGAAGAGCATAGTTGACATGTCTGGGTCAAACAGCCAGTATATCTCAGAAGTGAGCCTTGAACCCAGGTCTTCCTGGCTTTCTCAGTCAGCTTTATAAATACAAGATAGGAAGCCAGCCATCAAAACTGGGAGGCAAAGCAATATACTTGGCCACCAAGAGAGCAGCTCAGGGAGGAAAGCTGGTCACAAGGGCCATGGGGAACCCAGGTTAGAATGAGACAGGCTCACAACATGCTGTCAGCATGGGCCTCATTAGCTTTTCTGCTCAGGACCAAGATTGACCTCAGAGCTGAGCTTTCATTATAAGGACCAGATACAGCAGACCCCCCACTGTTTGTCTTCCTCATGCCTCGGGGGCAGTGATGCATTCAAACGTGTTTTACTAAAAAGATGTCAATGGAACAAAATATTGGGTAATGTTGGGGGTGAGAGAGGCTTCAACTGCTTCTCCTCCTGTTCCTGGAAGGAGGGGCAAAAACCTGCCAGGGACAGTAACTGGGACTCGTTGGTAGCCCCTTGGGCCAGTAAATGCCCCCTAAAGGCTTGTAGAGTAGGGCCATGGAGTCTCAGGTTGTTGAGCTGAAAAGGACCTCAGAGGTCATTTAGACCATTCCCCTTATTTTATAGAGAAAGGAATTCATGTTCTGAGAGGGCAAGAGATTTGTCCAAGGTCACACAGGTAGCACATAGCAGGGTTGGGATTCAAAACCAGGTCCTCTGACTCCCAAAGAGCACTCTCCCCACTGATGGCTGAGTAGAACACGTCATTGGCTTCTGTCCTTCTAGAAAAATAGCATAGCAGGTGAAGAATGCCTTCAGGCCTGTGGTTCAGGAAACAAAGTAAGATTTGAACTCCTTCCTTCTGTCTTTGTAGTGTTCCCAGCTGGCATCCTGCAGCCTCCATTCTTCAGTGCAAACCAGCCCAGCTCCTTGAATTATGGCGGCATCGGCATGGTCATAGGACATGAGATCACCCATGGCTTTGATGACAATGGTGAGCCCCTCTTGCCAAGTGGATATTCCTAAAGCACAGGCCTGATCTGGTCGCTGAACTATTCCTGTTGCCTCTAGGAGAAAATACCAAGTCTTCTGTGAAGTATTTAGAGCCCTCATAGCCTGGCTCTGGCCTGCTTTCCAGGCTGATTTCATTCTGTTTCACTCCCCCTCATCCACCCTGGCCTCTGGGCTCACTGGGCTCCACTGTTCCTCCCACCAACCTTCTGCCTTGGGCGAGACCGCTGTTCCCTGAGCCTGGATCGTTCTTTATCCCCATCTCTGTTGCTTGAGCTTCCTTGTTTCTTTCAAGTCTCAACACGTGTGTCCTACTAGACCTTTCCCCATTTCTCCGGTTGTTCATTCAGCTTCTCCATGCTGCCCCCCCACCGATGATATTGTGTTTATTCTTGGAGGTGTCTGTTGTTCCCCAGGTAGAATGTAAGCTCCTTGAGGGCAGGGAATGTGGTTTTGTTTTTGTCTTTGTATACCCTGAACCTACACAATGGCTCTTTAATGGGATGCAACAGGATGTGAAACCCCAATGTAACACCAAATAACCACAGTGGCAGAATGCCGGACACGGTCAGAGTCAGCTGCTAGGTTGGTTTTTCTGTATTTAGAGCTGGAAGAGCCCTCAGAGTATAACTCATTCTAAGAAAACTGAGGCCTAAGTGGGTTTAGGGATGCCCTTGAGGCAGCCAGAAATGTGGTCCTGGAGCTCAGCTGAGGGGTCTGAGCTGGAGACATTAATTTGGGAGTTAACCTAAGCATAGAGATGATAACTAAAGTAATGAGACAGGACCAGTTAATGAGGAAAACATAGCAAGAAGCCAGTACTCACATGTAAAGGATACAGGAAGGAAAGAGGAGGAAAGGAGACAGGGGAGTGATTTCAGCAGATATTTATTGAAGGTCTACCACGTGCTTGGCATACTTCTAGGGACTGTGGGGAATTATACTGGAGAAACATCATTAAAGAATTTACAACCTAATTAGGCAAACAAGGCTTTTATACTCAAGGCAAGGGAGCAACGATGCAGGATACAAAATAAAGTGTCAAAATTCAAAAGAAGGATAGCAAGTCCTGTGAGAACGAGGAAGAGGAAGAATTCGTTTGGGCTGCAGTCAGGACAAGCTGCATGCAGTAGCCAGTACTTGGGGTGGTTAAAAAACTTGGTAGGCATGGGTTAAAGTCCAGACACCAGTCTCTTTGGCTCCCTTGGAATTTTTTGGTCATAATGGAGCAAGAACAGAGATTTGGATCTTTCAGAGTCTTGGGGTTTCAAACCAAGAGGTCTTGATTCACTTTTTTAAAAAACACACAAAAATCAGTCCAATTAAACCAAGTCCCAATTGCTTCTACTGGTAAAGATTTCAGTTCAGTGCAACAGGCATATATTAAGGCCCTACCATGTGCCAGTAACTATGGTAAGTGCTAGGGCTACAAAGGCAAAAATGAAAGCATCCCTGCCCTTTAGGTGCTTACATTCCCCTGGGGAAAAAAAAACTTAAGAACAGATAAAAGTAATTCACGTAACTCAAATATATTCAAATAATTCAAATAACTGGGGTGGGGGAGGGGAAAGGGAGCTGGGAAGGCCATTTATATAGGAAGCTGCACCTGAGTGCCTGGATAAAGCAGAGAGGAGGGAGGGTGCTCCATAATAGGGGACTACTTGGACAAAATACTGCTACTACCTTACTACTACTACCTTACTACTTCTACTTCTACTACTACTACTACTACTACTACTACTACCACCACTACTACTGTTACTACTAGACCTGAAATGTCATGTACAGAGAACAAAGGAGTTGGTTGGTTTGACCAGAATAGAGAGTTTTATTAGTTGGGGTAATGTGGTATCAGTGAGGAAAGATGGGCTGGAGCCCAAATGAGAAGGACTTCCAATGCCAAGCAGAGAACGTGGTGCCTGATCCTAGAAGGCATAGGACAGTGAAACAGGGGACAGACATGGTTAGACCTGTACCTGGTAATTATCAATGTAGCAGCCTCCTAAGGGAGGCTGGATTGGGCCAGGGAACACCCAGAAGCAGCCTTAGTCGGGGGCAGAAGTCAGGAAATCAAGATGAAGAACACATCAACCAAAACAGAGACCCATCATTGAAAAAGACACAAAACCTAACATTTTGTCAATTCTGCGTAGAGAAAAAATCTAGTCTCTTCTATTCTATTTGATTTTGTGTTTTTGCAATCATCTTTTTATACTTTGAAATGAAAAGCTGACTTCTTATAAATCCCTGCTGGAATCACTCTCTTTCTCTCCCTCCAGGTAGAAACTTCAACAAAGACGGGGATCTCATTGATTGGTGGTCTCAGGAATCTGCCAAAAATTTCAAAGAACAGTCACAATGTATGGTACACCAATATGGAAACTTTTCATGGGACTTAGCAGGCGGCCAACACGTACGTCATCAGCACCTTCATGCGAAATTCTCTTCACTTGTTAAAGTTCTGGATGTTTTTCTGCTTTTCTTTCTGGTGAAACTTAATACATCTCGGGGGTGTGTGTGTTTTTTGACAGCTCAATGGAATCAACACTCTGGGTGAAAACATTGCTGACAACGGAGGGATTGGACAAGCATACAGGGTGAGCAGAATTCATTCTCTTCACATGTTAGGAATTTAGAACAAAATTCAGGGAACAGAGAAAAATTTTTTTTTCACTTTAAAGAACTTGTCTTCAAATGAAAATTCGTATTTACATGAATAATTGTCTCCAAAATTCAGACTTATAAGGATGCATTTTAATGCAATGACTTCTAATCAATTCTTCTTAAAAGAAATTAAAGAAATTTATTTTTGATTTCATTTCTTATTTGATTTATAAGTATATTTAATAAGACTACACCTGCTAAATCTATTAGATGTTTGTCTGTTTTACATATTTATTCTTGATAAATGAGTGATTTAAAAAAAAAAAGAAGGGGGGGAGCAAGAGGAGAGGGAGAGAGAAAGAGTGAGCTTTGGAGACTAGACACACAGACCTGTCTGAGTGACCCCAGACAAGTCACTTAACCTCTCAGAAAACATTCTAAGACTATTAGAGTCAGGTAGGTGACTCAGTGGATAGAGTACTAGACCTGGGCTTAAGAAGATCTAAGATCAAGTCTGGCCTCATACACTAACCAACTCGGTGACCCTGAGCAAGTGACTTAACCTTTGTTTGTTGTAGTTTCCCCATCCGTAAAATTGGAATGATCATAACACTGATATCCCAGATTAGTTGTGAAGATCAAACAAGATAATATTTATAAAGTGCTTTGCAAACTTTAAAGCATTATAGAATGCTAGGTGATGGTGTGGTAGTAGTAGTAAGTAGTAGTAGTAGTAGTAGTAGTAGTAGTAGTAAGGTAGTAGCAGTAGCAGTGACAGTAGTAATAGTAGTAGTAGTAGCAGCAGCAGCAGCAGCAGCAGCAGTAGCAGTAGCAGTAGTAGTAGTAGTAGTAGTAGTAGTAGTAGTAGTAGTAGTAGTAGTAGTAGTAGTAATAGAAGAGAAGGAACTGTTCTACTCGGAAATTTCCTAATCAATGAAAGCATAGATCCAGTCCAAACTAGCCATTTGAGGACAGGGCTCAGGTCTTATGCCTCTGTATTGTCAGCACCTACCCCACAGTCATATATGTAATTGATAATTAATAAATGTACGTTGTTTGTTGCTGTTAATGATGCTGCTGCTGCTACGTACCCCCTTCAACAAACCACCCCAAAAATAGTATTGTTAGAAGATACGGCAGTCCTTGATGATACACGCCAACATCCTGTTAGATGTACATGTCAAGAAATTCTTCCTGAGGACCTAGGATCAGCTCTCAGGTCCCTTCCTGCTAATGCTGCTGAACAATGCACCCACTTTCTCCAGTAAACCAAACTGTAACTTACCCATGCTTTTCACCCTATGCAGCTTTTGTCCATGCCCTCCTACATTCCATCAGGCAACAAACTTTGTTAAGTGCTTGCTTTGTGTGAGGCCTATGTGAAGCAGCCTGGGATAGCAGATAGACAGCCGGCCTTGGAGCTAGGAAGACCAGAGTCCAAGGCTCTCCTCTGAAACATTCTTCCTGCGCGACTTTGAACAGTTCACTTGACCTTTCCTGCTCTAGGAGGCTCTAGAAGATGTTATTGTAGAGAAGCTGGGAACACGTATTGGTAGGAGTTCCTTGTACCAATGGAACATCAGGCCCAGTCCCCATCCCTATGTCCCGGGTACAGTGTTGGACACTGGGGAAGAGAGGGAAGTCTCTGCCCTCAGGAAGCTTCTATTATATAGAAGACATTGTGTGCAGCTGCAGCACACAGAACATATAAGGCACCTCCCCCATGCACACACTCCCATTCGGTAAACTCCAGGGTCTCCTTATCACCTCCAAGATCTGATTCAAAATGCCCTATTGGCATCCCAAGCCCCTCACAGCCAGGCCCCTCCTACCTTTCCAGTCTTCTCACACCTCATTCTCCTGCACGGACTCTTCGTTCCAGGGACTAGGGCCGCTCCCCAGAGAAGACCCTCCATCCCCTGGCTCCGGGCATTATCTCTGACTGTCCCCCAAGCCCGGAATATACTCCTTCCTTTGCTCGTGCTGTGGACCTTTCTGGCTTCTTTTAAGTCCCAACTAAAAATCCCTCCTTCTGTGGGAAGCTTTCCCCAAACCCTCTTAACTCTGGCGCCTTCTTTCTCTGTTCATTATTTCCTATTTATCCTGTGTATACTTTGGTTGCGTATATTCGTTTGCTTTTTGTCTCCCTCATTAGACTGTAAGTTCTCTGAGGGCAAGGTCCGTCTTTTGTCTCTTTTTGTATCCCCAGAAGTAGCGCAGTGCTTGGTACGTAGTAGGAGCTTGACCAATGCTTTTCTTTTTTTTTTTTTTGGTGAGGCAATGGGGTTAAGTGACTTGCCCGGGGTCCCACAGCTAGTAAGTATCAAGTGTCTGAGGCCAGATTTGAACTCAGGTCTGTCTGACTCCAAGACTGGAACTCTATCCACTGTACCCCCTAGCTTCCCCTTGATCAATGCTTCTTGACTGATAGAACTATAAATAACCTATGCTAATCTCCCACAGAGGGTCCCCCTAGTGTTCTAAGAATCCTGTGATTTTCATCATTATAACAACAATAATAGTAACAGTAATAATAATAGCGCTTTAAGGCTTGCAAAAAAGTACGTTACAAATAAATCATTTTATTCTCTTGATAATCTTGGAAGGTAACTACTATTATTATGCCTATTTTACAGATGAGGATCTGAGGTAGACTGAAGTTTAATGACTTGCCCAAGGACACACAGTTAGTAAGTGTCTCAGTCCAGATTAGAACTCAGGTCTTCCCGACCCATACCATTTCAGGGCATACACAAGCTCTCAAGAGCCCATCTCTTTTTTCTGTTCATCCATTTCCCTGATGACATCTGTTGACCCTCTTCTCCTACACAATTCCTCATCTGTGTCGAGGGTCAGCCTGCTATTTGCGCCTACCCTGAGCCTCTCGTCCTTTGTGCATCCTCAACCAGCTGTTTGACCTCGGGCAAGTTCCTTAACCTCTCAGAGGCCTCAGTTTTCTCCTCTGTAAAATGAGGCGAGAGACTAGAAGTCCTCTAAGGTCTGTCTGGCTTTAAACCAACGTTCTCACAAATTCTAATCCTTCAGAGAATGTGATGTTCCATGCCTTAGAACCATCTAACATCCTTAGAGGAACGCTGGCATCAAAGGATTTTTATCAAAGCCCCAAATACCAGCCAGGCCTGATGGCACACACCTGCGATCCCAGCTAACAGGAGACTGAGGCTGGCTAGATCGCTTCAGCCCGGAGGGTCTGGGCTGCAGCGGGCCCTGCCAGGAAGGTCTCTGCACCAAGTCTGGCATCAAACAGAGAGCCCCTAGGGGCAGGGGGCCACCGGGTGGCCTAAGGAACGTAGAACCAGCCCAGGTCACAAACTCCGTAGTGGATTCCTGGCCTGAACAGGACAGGGAGACCCAATCTTTCCAAAAACCAAATCACAAAATATGATTGTGTACTTAGTGGGGCTCTGTACTAAGGCTTGACACACTTCTAGGCTTTAATAGCATAAACCCTCGCAAAGACGTTCACGATACTCTGCGCATGAAAAGACTTTGTCACATTTAAAACAGTGCATAAATTTGAGCCGTCGTTATTGCTGTTGTTGGCAAGAATTGAAAGCACTCTATTTCCGTGTCCTTGCACCGCGCAGGCCTATCAGAATTTTGTGAAAAAGAATGGGAAAGAGAAGTTACTTCCTGGACTTAAGCTCAACCACAAGCAGCTGTTCTTCTTGAACTTTGCTCAGGTATTGTGCACAAATTCTTGATGGACGTAGAGGGAGATCTCGGAACTGTGATTTCCCAGTGACTCAGTCGGTCTTCATCCAATGTGCCGGCATCTAACCTGGCCTGAAGCCACAGTTCCCATGGGGTTAAGGTTAGGTGGTGATATGTCCTCTGCTCCCCTCTAAGGTCCTCAATGACAACTACTTCAGGAACCCTGGGAAGGTCTCTTGTCTAGCTGCCTACCTGACACCCTACCCACTTAAAACCTAAATAAACATGCCAGAATCTTTTGATCCAGGAGAATCTTCTAATGGGATCCTGTTTTTTTTATGCTGTGTTCGTAGGTATGGTGTGGGACGTACAGACCAGAATACGCTGTCAACTCTATCAAAACTGATGTTCACAGTCCTGGCAATTTCAGGTAGGCATTGAGTTGAATGGCCAGACCCAAAGAGTGGTCATTAGTAGTCCAGTGATGTGCAGTTATCACAGCCTTTTTATTGTTGTCCCAAGTTTAAGTTCCATCTTTCCTGTTAGGAAATCCATACTCTCCCTGTACTCAAATCAAACCATTTTCTATACAAGCTGGCCCCGACCCATTAAAAATCTCATCACATTAAGTGCAAAGTCAGTCAAATATAAAACCAGTGGACTGATATGTCAAAGACAGAGTATGAAGCATCTGATCAATCCAAAGGGGTCTTCACGGCATTCTCATCTTGACCTTCAAGATGATCTGTCCCAGAACTTAGACACACACTTTAATTCTGATAATTCAAAAGAGAAGCTGAAAGGAGACTCCATGGTTAGAAGCTTGTACAGAAGGGATTGAATTTATAGCCAGATGAAGGCCCATTGGGGAAGATGCAAAAGATACAAATTTCTTTTGAATATGAGGGAAAGAGGTTGATCAATAGAGCTGTGCCATGGTAGAACAGGACACTGCAGGAGATTACTCTCTGGCTCCATTTTCAATGGAGGTCCTTGAGCAGTGACTGGAAGAATGCCTGCCATCTTTACCAAGTGGGAAGTTGGACCCTATGCTAAAAGCTTATGGCTCTAAGAGAACACAAGACTACCAATTGTTCATTTCATCCATCTCCTGCACTTGGAATCCCATAACATTTAACACTTTTATTTGGGGATAGTGCAAAAGTCTGAACCTGTGTGTGCGAAATAGCCAATGTAGAAACTAACTCCACAAATGTACATCAACCATTCTTCTGTCACTAATATGATGAAGAGCTACTTAAGATTTCATTCAGCTGTCCAGGGTTATGCAGCTGGTATGTGCCAGAAGCATGGCCTAAACCCAGCTCATCTTGACTCTAAGACCAGCCTTGCATCCAAGATACTTCCGTGCTACTCTCATAAATCCAGCAACTCAGTCTTACTGCTCTTTCAAAGAGGTATTTTAGGCAAGAGTCTAAAAAGCAATTGAAAAAAAGAGAGAGCTCATGATCTTCCTTCTATAGGCTAACATAAAAACTCTACTTAATATATGGATCATCTCCTCCAGTAACTCACTCCTAGAGAAGTTACATTATGGAAAAACCCAGGCAAAAAGAGTCTGAAACAGTTAAAGGAGTATATGTTACATGGCAGGAATCACAGGCAGTTTTGTTCAGGGGTAAATGAGCACATTAATAAATAGACAAAAAGTTTTCTAGGGCCTTTTCTTTTCTTTTCTCTTCCACTGTCCTGCAGTGACCTTAAAGTACCTCTTTCAACATTCAGTCACTCTATCAATGCTTATTGTTTCTTTCTTGTGGACGTCAGGGTTAGTCCTCAGTGGTGACTAGCACTTTCATTGTGGTTCAGTTAATACCAATTGAAATAGCTTGACATTGTTCACATTATGATTTTCCAAAGGCTTTTTTTCCCCCATTCAGTGAAGAATAGCGGCCTATTGAGACTTAGTGAGATAAAATATATAATGGAAATGCATCTTTGGAAAGGGATATCTCCAACAAAAGAAACAGGATCACTAAAGGCAATGTTGGAATAGTATTGTTTATTTACAAAGATATACTTAAATGAGGGAACCCTGAAAGCAAATTATGGATGCAAGCATGGCGGCACGAATTTGGGTGAAGAGTAATGGAAGGAGAAACAGAAGCCAGTTGGGCACTGCAGTGTACAACAGACTATCTGGACGGAGGGAGGATATAGATGAGGATTTCAGGAAACAGATCACACCCATGGCACAGTCAATAATATTGTTAGCAGTGTGGAGGATCTTTAGTTCTCCTGGCAGATGCTGGAGCTCTCTGTGCCAAAAAAGGAAGGCAACTATTTCTTTCCTGACTTTTCTGGATGAAAAAGGATAGAAGAAGCAATAAGAGAATCTTCTACTCTGGAACCACTTCTTATGAATAAATAGTAAGAATTGATTGCTTGGGGTGGAAGTGATGGGAACCTTGGGATGAAGAGTTGATTCCATTTTATAATTTTTGACAAAGGATGAAAGCTAGTCACAATCCAACATGCCCCTTCATTTTGGGGAGAGCAGATTTCAAAGAAGTTAGAGAAGGGCTGGGTAGGACCTCATGTGCTAAAATTGTACGTGGCAAGTCCATGCAGGGAGATGAGAAAATCTCAAGAATTAAATTCTGACAACACAGGAGATAATTGCAAAGAAGGTCAATAGAATCAGTGCAGGTGGTGATAGCTGCAGCCTATTTACCCTACTGTGCATCTCTCTCTTACCTTTTGTATCACTCACCATTATGATTTTTTGAGTTTAGATTCCTGTAAAAATACAGGAGAATCATAGTGATGTCTCCCTATCATCGTCAGGGGAGGAGTGATTCTACATAACAGTAAACAGTTCTTTACCCCCAACAAATAGACCTTTTCTCACTAAGCACCAAAATTGCTTTTCATCTGGGCCATTTGTGGTAGAAAAATGTTGATTACGCACTTCTCTACCTTAGTAAACAGAGAATATTAGACAGATTGTAACCATTTCTTGAAGACTGAGAATCAGTTGCCAATGATTATGGTATGCTATACTGATGCTACTTATAGGTTTTCAAGTCAGGTCAAGTCAACAAGCATTTATTGAGTGCCTACTATATACCAAGCTTTGTGCTAAGTGTTAGGGATAATGAAGGAGAAAACACGCAAATAACTATGTATGGACAAGACATATGCAGTTAATGTCAAATGGAAAGCACTGGGAGAGGAAGGGAGAAGGGAAGAAGAATCAGGAAAAGGCTTCTTGCAGAAGGGGGGACTTAAGCTGCATCTTGAAAGAAATCAGGAGATAACGGAGCTAATGAGGGGCAATAGACAGTGAAAAGGCGTGAGTTCAAGGGATGGAGCATCATCTGTGCAGGGAAGGCAGGTATCACTGGTTTGGAGGGTATATGGAGGCAAAAAATTTAAGGAGATTGGGAAGTGGAAGAGTAGGAAGGGGCCAGGCTGGGAAGGTCTTTAAAAGCCAAGCAGAGGATGGTCTATTTGATCTTGGAGGCACTAGGGAACCTGTCAGGGAAGGAGCAGATGTTTGCCTCTGTGCTATATGACCTGAGACTCCTATGTTTAGTTTCAGTTCTTAATGTTCATTTTATGTTTTCTGTCTTATTCCTTGATGTGTGGATATCAATTACCATTTCTCCCTGTACCAGACTCTTGCCTCCTCCTAATTTCCTGGTTCTAATTCACCACAGTTTAGGAAAACAGAGAACACAGCCTGTTAGAATCTTGTGTAAAGTAAGGGAAAGTAGGTACTGAGTAAGGGGAACAAGGCTCTTCTTTGAATAAAATGCATGAACTTTAGGACATGGATTTCATACCATCTCTGGTGACAACTCAGAGCCCTTTGTGTTATTCCCTTGTTTCCTGTTCTTGGATGAGTTCCAAATGGTTGAAGATGCCAGATAAGTGACTTCTGAACAAATGAAGTGTTACTGTATATACACACATTTTGTATTAAAAAAAACTTTTTAAACTCTAAATGCATCATTTTATTACTTAGTTGGAAAGCTATTTCCCTTGGGCCTGACCCTGCATGTTCATCTCTGTGAATATTTCCCATTCACTTCAGAAATGGATTGTATTTTTTTAAAGGAGTAAATGGAATGCCAAACTTTTGCTAAGGAAGTCATTATTTTCTCTAGAGGTAAAAGGATTTCCTTGGCAAAAGGTTGAAGTTCCATTTAGTTCTGGAAATGGGTTGCTTCCTGGTTCTACCCGTTTTTAAAAATACCATGTTTTGAAGGCCCAGAAAAAAGTTTTAGACACTGAGTCGCTGTTCTGAACAAATACGCTGGTGATTGACATGGAAATATTTCTCAAACACATGGAAGATTTTTATAAGTCTAGGCTGTAATCACCACTATTTTCAAAAATAAAGGAAAAGTGTGTTTGGCATCAGACTGGAAATATTGCTAAATCATTTTTCCAGACCCAGCCTATGACTAGTTAATTTATCATAGGGTCCTAGATTTAACCCCTGAAAGAGACCAAGACCAAGGACTTGAAGTGACTTATGCCAAGGTCACATGGGAGGACATAGGAGAGCTGGGCTTCATTAATTTAATTCCCACAAGTATAGCTTTTTAAGGTCTACAAAGTACTTTACATCCTGGGTGCATTCTGGGAAGATGGCGGAACAGGTCCAGAATTTCCAGGCGCCCCAGACAAACAGACAGAACATTGCCATGAAATGAACCTAGAGCAGCAAAAATAAAGGGATGAAGCAGTTGTCCTTCTAAGACAACTTGAGAAGACCTCAGGAAAGCCAGAAATACATCCTTATTTAATTTGATTCTTGAAACAAGCCTCAAAGGTAGGTCCTATTATTTTCCATGTAGATTAGACTCTCTGAGACTTAGAGGTGAAGGGACTTGCCCATGTCATGTTTATTGCTACTGTTAGAGGGAGGATTCAAACCCAAGTCTTCTGACACCCAATTCGATATTCTATGCATGGCCAGAGACCTACGTGGCCACTCCCAATGATGTGACATAAAAGAGCTGGTGATTCTGATGCTCTGACTTCACAGTGATTCTGTCTATGATGGGGTTCAGTCCCACCAAGTCAAATGCCTATTGGATCCTAAATCCCACACCTGAACTGCTTGGCCATTCTTGTTTTTTCTCAGGAAAAGAAGATTCTAGAAAATCCGAAATATTAAATATACTTCCTGGATTTACTAAGGGAAAACCCCACACTTTAAATACTGGTTTCTTTCCAGAAACGAATGTTTGTTGACCATCTGAAATCAGTTTAAATAGTTGCTATCTGTTGTGCTAATATTTACAATAATCTGGAATAAATTATTTGAAGTTTATTATTGTCAATTCAAATGAAATATCAACCACTGCTTTTCTCCTAATAAGTCTAAGTGGATATAACTGATATTGATGCTGGGGGGGAAAAAACAAAACCATAATTATTTCCTTCAGGTTATCTCTACCCCTTCAATGTCGACATCATTTTCTAGTAATTTACTAAATCAGGATTTTTAGGAAATAAAACCATCTTTCTATCTAAATTTTAGTTTTTAGCTCTCTAAGTCAGATACTTATTAAAGCACTGACTTCTCACCATAATGTAACTCAGGTGACATTGTCAGGTAGTGTGCGGTTTCTGTGCTTTGCTTTATGAGACACTTTGCTTGCTCAGGAAAATCCTTCCCTGAAGCATCTTCTACTTGTGCCTCCCAAGAGCCACTGATTTTACTATTACTACTAATAATGGTGATAATAACAACAATAATTATTTTTAAAATATACCTAGTAATTATGTAGCATTCTAAGGTTTGCAGAGAGCACTTCCAATTTCTTATCTCATTTGGTCAGTATAACAGTCCTGTGAGGCAGATGTTATCATCATTCTACAGATGAGGGAACTGAGGCAGAGAGCTTTAAGTGACTTGTTCAGGGTCACATAGCTAGCAAGGCTCTGAAACACCATTGGCCTCCCCACCCCTGGTCTAGAAGGTTCTTGCATGGAAAGATCGGTCAGCCCAGCCAAGGCAATGCGGGTTTTTTTATTTTAAAGAAGACACCATCGCAGACCCATAGATAGATACCCAAGCTACTGGATTTGAACACACCACTGACAGTGACTTCTGGTTTGTTTGGTTTTTTTTTTTTTGAAGGATCATAGGAACTTTGCAGAACTCCCCAGAGTTTTCAGAAGTCTTTCAGTGCCGCAAGAATGATTATATGAATCCAGAAAAGAAGTGCCGGGTGTGGTGATTCTAGAGAGGACAACTGACTTCCCTGGACAGCAGAAATCTGGAACTTCCTATGGGAGAAAAAAAAAACTGTGCACCAAACTCACTGTAATTACAAGAGGCTGATTAACTGGGGTCGGGTGGCGGGGGAGAAATACACTAAGATTTTAATTTCAGGTTAAGGCCAGCAACAGTGTAGCCAAAATTGGATGTGAGCTGCTCGTGAAAAAATGGAGGACCTAGGTTAATATCCACTGAACCTACCCCAACTGTAAATGTACATAATACTTGACGCTGGAATAGTGGTTTCCAGTTAATGTCGATTTCCCATTCGGTCAACAGAATGAATATTCTCACTTGGGAACAGGGTTAATTGCCTATGAATGCAAACAATTATTTTTAATCAAAGGGAGGAAGAAAATGTCAAAGAATATGGCAGGATAACATCTGTCTAATGAGGACACAATAGTCACAAACCAGAGAAATCGGCCCTGCCACCTCTTTAAATGTGAAGTATTCATCAATGGCCTCACTCAAACCCCTTCAAAGAATTCTTAGAAGAGTAGGGATTTGGGTCTTGAAGTACTTTTGAAAAGAAGTCATTATTCCTATAATCACTATTTTTTATTCCAAGGCAACTAATTTTCCATAATCATATTCAATTAAGAAAGGAAAATATAGAATAGGTCTCTCTCTTTGATCCTCCACTGACAGATATTGAGAATCCTCAAGCTCTCTTGTAATTTTCTGAATAATTTCTTGTTCTCTCTAGACCTGGGCCTTTTTAAAAGATTTGTAGTAATGTATAAATCATAATTTTTATATTTAATTATTAACTGTGTGTATGAAAAAGTAACTGCTATATCTATATATATCTATATAGAGAGATGAATGTGATCACTGATCCACTATTGGGGATTGGCATTTCAGGTTGAGATATGAAACATTCTTTACATTAAGGAAACATCTGCCAACCAACATCTGTAAAGTAGTGTACAGATTAAAATTTGAGACTTTTTTTTAAAAAGTGATAATTCATACTTGCAAAAAAGCTTTAAGCCAGAACTTTTGTGTAAGACCCACTTTCAGATAAATTTCTCAGAGGCCTGACTGACATCTCTATTGTAGAAGCAATCAGAAATTTCCAAAAATCAATAGTTGATTCCCATGATTTGTACTGCAATGGGTAAAGCTGCTTCTCTGTGATTCTACGTAGGAATGGAACCCCCCTTGGGTCATGAGGGGGCACAGCCTCACTGGGGCAAGTCTAGGCCTCAGCGGGATGCCCACTTAGCAATACCAAGGTAACAAGGACACACTGTTGCTAGTCTAAAGATTCCCTACTATTAATTCCATAACATTAGTGGGCACTGATGTTGACGAGGGCATTAATGGAAGGGGAGAAAGGACAGGTCCAAAGGCCTTCAGAGTGCTCCTGTCCACTGTCATTGGTCGATTGAATGGTCATTCTGCATTATAGCATCATAGAATCTTAGCTTGAGGGCTAAAAGGGACGTCAGAGGTCACCAAATTCAAATCTGTTATTTTCCAGAAGAGAAGACTGAAGGCCCAGAAAAGTACAATGGCCTGTCCAGTCTAGTGATTGCTAGACCTAGACTTTGAACTTAGGACCCCTGACTCCAAATCCAGCAGGCCAGTCAGAAATGATGCAATAACTAATGAAGACCATTGCAAGCTAACGAAGCCTGACGAAGCTAATGGTGATTATTAGCTCAGTCAGCCAGTGACATAAGTAGAAATTCCAGAGGGAGCTGTCTCCCCCTCCCACATTTTTCCATGGCCTGTAACTATTTCTGGGATTCTACAATAAATAATGTCCTGCATATGAACCTTGATTCCATGTTATGTTTATTTTACCTTTCAATGTCACCGGATGAAAATGTTTTTTATAATAAACAAATTGTGAGACTGATTCTCACCAAGCTTCTAGTGTTAACACTGTCTTTTATGAAGTGGGGAATGTGAGGAAGTTGGGTGGGAAATATTTGAAGGTCTTAAATCATGAGCGTTTTCTGACATTAGCTCTGAGGTTTCCAACTGGGATGAAACTCTAGAATGGGAGGAATCAAACGTTCAACAGAAATGAAGTCAACTCTCAGTTATCTGGTTTGTAAATGATTCAAGATAGTCTTCTTCTTTTCCTTGCCCTTCATTTGGATCAAGAAAAGAGTTGACATTAATATTTTGCATCTTTGTATGTGTGGACAGGTGGACAGATAGACAGTCTAGAACTTTAATTTCACCACTGAAAGGAAACCACAAGTTGTAGAAATTCTGCACCAATGAGCACTTGCAAGGAATCTATACCATACAGTTTTAGAGAATTTCTAAGGGCTTAAGTGATTCATCCATGGTCACAGCTACCCTGTGCAGGGACACTGTAAAGCCGGCCCTTTACAGCCACACAACTTAAATAAGAATTTGGATTAACCATGTATTGTCCTCATCCCTTACATCTACTGCTCACGGAAAGTAAGAGTAAGTCATATTCTGGCTTAAAACTCAGCTATGCAGAGCAATGTCTTTGGCTATTGGCTGTCCATAGCCAGGAGCAAGAGCCTTTAGGGGTGCTGAATTCTTCCAGTGGCAGAGCAGCTGCCACCCAAGCTTCCAGGGAATGAAATGGGCAGGGGGTGGGATGGAAAAGAACTGCTGAACCTCACCTGGCAAAACGAGGATCTTCTGGCACATCAAAATTCATTTACTTATTGCTCTTCCCACTGCTCCAACCTACTTTATATAGCAAAAACATGGGAAAGAAAGGGAAGGAAAAGAACAAGAATGGAAGGGAGGAGAGGACATAGAGCCCCACCCTCCATACTGGCTCTTAAGAACATCTTTAAGCTGTTGCATGATTACAGAGGACAAGCTCGACCCCAAAGAAGAACCATGAGAAGACAGTTCCCCCCAGTCCTTGGAAGAGATGGGGGATCCACAGCTGTGGAATATTGCAGAGATAGCCAGATTTTTTTTTTCAGTGTATCAATTCTCTTCCTTTTTTTCTCTAAAAAAAAATTTTCATTATAATGGATGGCTCTCTGGGAAGGAAAGGGTGAAGGGTACTGGAAGAAATTTGAGTGACATAAAAATAAAAGATATCAATAGAAACATATTTTTAAAAATGAAAATCATCAAAGGCTAGAGGAGTTTCCTTTCCACATATAAGGATCTTTCAGTTCCAAAAGTTTATGATTGTATGAAAAAATGTCTCTCAACTCCAGGGGTGGAGATAAAGCAGGTATTTCTGAACATTTCCATATTCCGAGGCCTGGGCTCCTTTCTTACAAAACCATAACCCGTTGGTAGTAGCAAACATCAATTACAGCTTGAAGGAATCTTAAAATACATTTAGTCCACCTGAGGTCCAACTTGGTAAATGAACTTACCCAAAGTCCCCAGGTAATGAATAACAGGCAGGATTTTAACACAGGTCTTCTGGGTCCAAATTCAGGGTCTGTTCCACTATTCTGTGTGCCTCATTAGACACAAGGGTCTGGTAAAGTGAGAGGGAGTGTGGTATCAGTAGCTCTGATTGAGGGATGCCAGTAGACAACTCAAAGTGATAAGATTAGGTTCTGGGGACCTTTTCCATTGCTATCATGAGCATATTTTGAGCAAAAAAGACAGGATGGAATGTTGTCCAGGTATGCTCTGCATTATTATCTAACACCCCTGTGAGAGTAACAGTAACACTCCAAAGCCCATTATAATTCTCAACAACTTCAGATGGAGAAGTTTCAAAATGGAAGAAATGTGTCAGCTTTGGGGGGAAATGAGGCTTTAGGTCTAATGTTCAGATAAATTCATCAAGCTTCCATATCAACAACAAAATCATTTCCCAAGTACTCCCAAGTGGTCCTTTGTATCTACCTACTCAGTGTTTTTCCATTTCTCCCTCTTGAAATGGCCCAATCCTGGAAAAGTGCAAGAAAGAAAAGACCGCCTCCCCAAATATCTCATCCCTCTCCCAGTGTCTGCAAAATCAGGTTTCTTAATAAGTGTGTCCCGTTGCCTTTGGGAAGGGGGAAAGTTCTTCTAAGTTGCAGTCCAAACTTCTCCTTGAAACAAAGACTTCTCTGTAGCACCTGTGTTCTATCAGGGATAAATTTTCCAGCTCTCTGTCACAAAACACTAGAATGTCCTAAGATTTAAAGTGGAAATCACTCAGAAGACAATAGAGATGCATATGTAGTAGGACTAAGTAAGCTGTAAGACATTACAGATAAGGAATTATGATTTGATGTGCTGTCATCCCAAGAATGCTTGACCAAAGATAGGCTACTGATATGAAGAGAATAAGGAGTAGTCAATGGAGAGGGAGCCTGCTTCACCAGGATCCTCTAGATATCATAGGAAAGTGAGGACAGCCCTCTGTGCCTCAGGTGAATTCCTAACAGAACATTTATGAGAAGACATTGAGAAAAGTAACACTGGATGGGCCAAAATCTGCATGGTTGGAGAGAATACTCACAACAACGAGATCACAGATCAAATGAAAATATTTTTGGCATTTTTACAGAAAATTTCCATTTTCTCCACTCCATAACACAAAAAAGCATCTGACCTAGTTGTTCTTAGGAGGTCACAGAAATAACACCCACAAGAAGCTACAAGTGGTAACAGAAGACATGAGGAGACAGAGACCCTTTGAGAACTGTCTTTGACTACATCATGCTTAGTAGATGGCATTTGACCGGCCCATCTTGCCATACATGTGCTGATATTTTCTTTAAACTTATCATCTGAGTTCATTACACCACAGATTTAGAGCCAAGAGGAATGTTAGAGATTTTCTAATGCAACTCTTCTCATTGGATAGGAAAAAATGGAGCTCCAGTGATCCCAAGTGACATTTGAAGGAAGCAAAAGTGATAAATAGGCAAAGTAGGATTTGAATCCAGGTCCTTTCCATCTGATTCCAATCCTCTTTTCACTGTACCAGCCTTGGTTTAAAAAAAAAAAAGATAACTCTAGAGTTGGTATGGGGGGGGCGGGAACCTACTGTGGTTGTTTTAGGTGGTATAGCTGAAATGTTGTCCTTCCAAATTATTGTTTTACCAAACAAATCCTCTGGGTTTTGTAATGGAAGCATGGAAGAAAACAACCATGGAATCATTCTACAAATAATGATGGGTTATCTACCAATGCAGGGAAGAAAGAATAGGAAGCCTAGTAATTATGATTCACTTATTTTTATGTTTCTGAATTTCCTCTTTATTAAGAAACTTAACGATAGTTTGGTTGTGTTGTTTATTAGACATCATTAACTCCATGCAGCCCTGGTGGATAAAGTGGCTGGTCTTGGAGTCAGAAAGATACGGGTATAAGTTTTGCCTCTGACAGGCACATACAAGCTAGATGACCATAGGCAAGTCATTTAACTTATTATTAATCTCCCCCGACTGGCGACTCTCATCCTAAGAGCAAAAAGTACACATAAGTTAATTATGTACATCAGTGGGGGTAGTGTCTAAATCATAGTTCTCTGCACCAGTGAAATCAGAGTGCTCCATCTTTATTTGAACCATGTGATTTCACTGATATAGGAAACTCCCAATGAGGTAAGAAAGTTCACGCTACTAACATGGCTTGGCACATTCTCTGAAATTTAGAATCTTAGAGAATTTCTTGGGAGGAATGAGAGATTAAGTGACTCATAAAGCCAGTATGTAGGAAAGGCTAGATTTAAACCCAGGTCCTCCTGACAGACGTTAGCTCTTTATCTGACACTTCTACCTTGGCTATGCATGTATGGTCCCTCTGTCTCTCTCTGTAAATGTGAGTGTGTGTTTGTGTACATTGTTTTGACTATACCTCTAATTTCATCAGCATAGGGAGCTTCCAATGAGGAACTTCCTTTAACAATTCAAATTGTAACCTCTCTCTGTCTCTCTCTCTTCTTTCTTTGTTCCTGTCCTTCTTTCTCTTTCTTTATCTCTCTGTCTCTGTCTCTCTACTCCCTGTATATGTCTCTCTCCCCATTTCCTCCTCCAACTCCCT